ATGTATATAAGTAAGTAAAATAGCCTAAGAATAGAGCTTTTCAAGGATCAACTGTGGTATCCATATTCATATCGCTATTTCACTAAATGGAGAATAACTTGATTTTGCAAAAAAGTGAGATTTTGCCTCCTGTTACAAAGCCGACCACCATGCAGTTCCAATGAAACGGCCTCTAACCTTTCTAAGATACCGCAATACTATTTTAATTTTTTAAAATAATTTTTTAATGTTTATTATTATTGAGACAGAGAGAAACCCAGCATGAGTGGGGGAGGGGCAGAGAGAGAGGGAGACAGACTCTGAAGCAGGCTCCAGGCTCTGAGCTGTCAGCACAGAGCCCGATCCAGGGCTCAAACCCACGAACCGTGTGATCAAGACCTGAGCCAAAGTCACATGCTCAACTGACTGAGCCACCCAGGAGCCCCTATTTTAATTTTTTTTTAATGTTTATTTTTGAGAGAGAATGAGAGACAGAGCACAAGCGGGGGAGGTACAGAGAGAGAGGAAGACACAGAATCTCAAGCAGGCTCCAGGCTCTGAGCAATCAGCAGAGAGCCGGACGTGGGGCTCGAACTCGTGAACCATGAGATCATGACCTGAGCCGAAGTCAGATGCCTTACAGACTGAGCCACCCATGCCCCCCTGCAATACTATTTTAAAGCTTTTTATTTTTTGATGGGCCTGCCCCCACCCCAAAAAGAAGACAAGAGATGAGATAGTCACTCTGGATGGTGACTCTTTCTAAAGCGCCATCTGACAGATCTTAGATAATCCATCCACAGGCTTCTCTGCTCAAGGAAATCAAATGCCAGGTTAAAAACCTTGATGAGTGACAGGAAGAGGGAAATGATGACTTGATTGATGTCTTTCGGCTAACTGAAAAGGCTTGTCTAAGTTTTCTGGGATAAAAGATCTTTCGCTTGTCAAGAAAGTTATATAAAAGACACTTAAATAGAATCGAGTTAATAAATGCCATCTGGGCACACGAAGCACAATCCTAGCAAACATGCAGTGGAAGGGAACTTTGGGCAAGGCATTTTAATGCCTAAAGCCTCAGCTTTCACATTTCTTTAAAAAAAAAAAAAAAAAGCATGTTCTTAGAAGTGACCCTGGTGTCCGCCTCCAGCATAGGAGGCCCTGGGAGCCTGGATCAAATCCACTTAACGCCACACGATCCTGGGGGAGTTATTTACTCTTTCTGGACATCAGTTCCAGATCTGTAAAATGGGCTGGCAGTAGCCACATCTCAGGATCACCGGCAGGATTACAGGTGATAAAAATACGTAAAGCACCGTCCCAGTGCGTGGCTGAGTATGCGGAGGGCTTGGCACAGGCGAGGGCTAACTGTTACCTGGAGTCTTACCATCCCGGTCTGTAAAGTGATGAAAATGATACTCACCCATTGTTACGAAGTCAAATAAGATAATGAACACAGATGCCAATAAAAGCACTAAGAGATGTACAATGTGGGGGGGGGGGTACAGTTATGATTGTGACGAGGAGGCGTGTAACACAGCCATAAACCCTGCTAGGCTACCTCTGACGGTAAGAGTCACTCCCACTGTAGCAAATGATTTTTAAACGCAATGAAACCTGTTGGGACTTCATCCAAGGACAACTGTCGACTGCATGTAAAACTGACAGCAGGTTTGGCGCTCCTGAACGCAGCTGCCTTCCGAAGGATTCAGATGCGGATTCGGGGCCAGGTAAGCTGGTTAAAGCCTGGAGGCAGCAAGCTCTGCACCCAGGTAATTCACTTCCCTTCCTCCTCATGCCCTGAGGACACGGCCCCTGATTTAGGGTGTCCTGCATGCAGGAGAGGCTCCCTCAGAGGAAGCTCATCACCCCGGAGCACCACCCTGTGCCCCAACTCCCCCCCCCTCCCCGCTTGCTGTGGGGTTTCCCCTCCCTCCCTTCCCCACTGGAGCCAAATCATCTCATGATTATCTCTGTGGCCAGCACAGGGCTCCCCACCACTTCTGGAGGTGTCTTTAACCTGTGTTTCTCTCAGGGCTTCTCTCTCTCTCTGTTTCTCTCTGGGGTGTGTGTGTGTTTCTCTGGGTCTCTCCCCGTTTCTCTCTCGGGGGGGAGGGGGGTGGTGGTGGTGGTGGTGGTGGTGTGTGTGTGTGTGTGTGTGTGTGTCTCTCTCTTTCTCTCCCTCTGGGTCTCTCTCCCGGTTTCTCTGGGTCTCTCTGTCTCTCTCAGGGCCTCTTTGTCTCTGTCTCTCTCTTTTTGGGTCTCTGTTTCTCTTTCTGTCTCTCTCTCAGGGCCTCTTTGTCTCTGTCTCTCTCCCCCTGTCACTCTGTCTTTCTGGATCTCTGTTTCTCTAGGTCTTTCTCTCTCTGTTTCTCTCTGTCTCTCTCTGGGCTTCTTCCCTTCTCTGGGTCTCTCTCCCCGCCCCTTCCCCTGGCCCTAGATTCTCCCCCTCCCCCTCTATCTCTCTGTGTCCATCTGTCTCTCAGGGAATGGCCGCCCTGTCTGCACCTGGACCTCGTATGCTGCCTTGAGGACCCAGCTGACCACCCAGATATGGACCCCTGAGCACGGGTGCCTTGGACATGACCATGCACCCGTTTTTTAAAATTTTTTTTAAATGTTTTTAAAATGTTTTTATTTATTTGTGTGTGTGTGTGTGTGTGTGTGTGTGTGTGTGAGTGAGAGAGAGAGAGAGAGAGCGCATGAGCATGAGTAGGGGAGGGTCAGAGAGAGAGGGAGACACAGGATCTGAAACAGGCTCCAGGCTCTGAACTGTCAGCACAGAGCCCGACGTGGGGCTCAAAACTACGAATTGTGAGATATGACCTGAGCCGAAGTCGGACGCTTAACCTACTGAGCCACCCAGGCCCCCCAATGCACCCATTTTTAAAAGCAAGTAACGGGTCACAAAGCCCAGGACAGCCTGCTCCTCAAAGGCTGTTCTTTCTCGGCCAAAGGTTTTATTGCTCTCCCTCGAGCAAAAGCCTGGTGATTCCGTCTCACGCAGGGAATCCTTTGAACACTTTGAAATGAGGTCTCCACAGTGAAAAATAACCAAAACGACAATCAGAGGGCCCCCAGCTACCGTCAGGTGTTAAGACGCTCCCAGCCCCTCAGGAAAATGGTCCACCCTCACTGGGGTCACAACTGGCCCTGGGTACGGTCAGTCCAGCACACTTAAAAAATTATTAGAAGTGCTTTATGCCATTTGCTTCACCCAACCACCATGAACATTGGAAAACTGATAATATATTCTCTCACACACACACACACACACACACACACACACACACACACACACACACACACCAGAAAATAAATGACAGGGGAAGGAAACTCCAGCACCATGTACCTTTTCTGCATTTCAGAACCCCTCCCTTCCCCTCCCCTCCCCTCCCCACTGCCCCAGGGTCACCTGCCCCCAAGTAGGGAAGTGAGCAGCTGAAAGTGAGATGCAGGGGTTACACTAACGTTCGCCTTTTGCAAGATGCAGGTGCTTGCAGATTCTCAGATCAGATTCTCACAGAGGAGCTGGATTTCAGACTCAGGCTGGTTGTGAGACAGGAATGGGGGAGGAACCAGTGGTTTGTGTTTTCAAGTGAAAAGGAGAGAAAAAAAAAAGTCACAGGAAGAAATGTGGGGCCAAAAACTCCTAACCACAGCCCTGGGGACCTCACTGGTCCTTTAGGCTAGAGGCTTCCAACCACGCCCCATATGTGTGGACGTCAAGGACTCTTTGTTGAGCTGACATATCATGTTTTATTTTTTATTTATTTATTTTTTTTAATGTTGTTTTTTAAATTTATTTCCAGGAGAGAGAGAGAGAGAGAGAGACAGCGTGAGCAGGGGAGGGTCAGAGAGAGGGGGAGTCACAGACTGAAACAGGCTCCAGGCTCTGAGCTGGCAGTCAGCACAGAGCCCGACGCGGGGCTCGAACCCACGAACCGCGAGATCATGACCTAAGCGAAAGTCGGACGCCTAACCGACTAAGCCACCCAGGCGCCCCTGACATATCATGTTTTAAAGATATAAGCCTGCATGTTTAAAAATGGGATGCTTCCCATGAAAAACCAAGCTGGTAACTCCAGCGCCTTTTGCCTCATGGCAGTCACAGGTGGCCCAGAGGGACAACTGCTGCCCGGAGTCCCTCATGGCCGCACTGTGACTCTCACTGACAGCCTCCCCACGCTCCCCGGTCTCCCCATTCAGGATTCACTGTTTCTCTTCCCTTCCCCGGCCTTAAAGGACATGGGAGATGATGGCTTCTGACCCAGGCCATTCTAACTCGGTCTACAAATGATAAAACTAAAGCACAGAGTGATGCAGTCACTTGCCAAAGATCACACAGCTTCTCGGAGCAGAGCCGCACAAAAACCGAGACTCGGTTCACAAAGTCAAGTGCTTCTGAACCTGTTTTCAGTCCAGAACCTTGAGGCGGGGAAACAGCCACCTTGCTGGCAGCCTTTCCCTGCCCCTCCCTCTCCCAGCGAAACCACCTGACCTTCCAACTGGTTGATCCTTAAGCCTCCTTCACCTTCACGAACTAGTCACGAAGCGTCACCATGTTCAAGTAGCGACTCTGTGAAATTCTCCCACGTGCCAGGCCCCTAGTTCTGTGCACTCACTGGTCTCCTGAGCCCACTTGCAATTACTAGTTAACAGCTTCTAATTTCCAGTTTGGGGTCAAATTGTATGAAAATTGGCCTCTTGGGAGGATGCATTTTATGCCCCCACAAGGGCTTCCAGAAACGTCCTTTCTTCCCTGCACATCACGTCATCTGTCTTCTATTCTCCCAAACGGAGGTGTAAGCCAACGTACGGAATCACGGGTTTGTTTTTTTGTAAACAAAACAAGCTGTGTTCATAGCTTTTTAATCTTTCCTGTTGCTCTCCCAAAGTAAACCACCAAAAAATTTCAACTCTAAATTATATTTTTTAAAGAACATATATTCAAAGTCCTTGAGTGCCGAAGCAGATAGTTATTATAGGAGTAGTAGTGGTTAGTAAGGAATAAGGATACTTACAACCCATATGATGACCAGTCTTCTGGATAAATAAGGATCAATATTCCAGTGCGTGAATGGAAGAAAGGTGATGTAGAATACTTCTTGACCCAAAGCAGCTGAGAACCTGAAGAGGTAATAGTAGAAATAATTCTTCACAATGTACTTCTGTGAAGCCTAGAAGACAAAAGGGAGAAGACTCTGAGTTCATCCGACATGTGACTGTAAGGCATGTTTTAAAAACCCCTAAAACCCATGAGAGCCCAACTACCACTGTGCTTCTATTATGAATTGTATGTATTTTTCTTAGCAATTGTATGTCATGGGTCAGCAATTACAGGATCATTGCTATCAGTGTTCTTTTTTTTTAAGGTTTGTTTATTTTTGAAAGATAAAGACATGAGCGCAAGCAGGGGAGGGGCAGAGAGCAAGGGAGACACAGAATCTGAAGCAGGCTCTAGGCTCTGAACTGTCAGCACAGAGCCCGACGCGGGGCTCAAACTCACGAGCGGTGAGATCGTGACCTGAGCCAAAGTCAGACGCTCAACTAAATGAGCCAGCCAGGCGCCCCTCAGTATTCATTGTTGTTGAACATCGATCAACCCCGATTTGTCCACACAAACACAGATGTTAGTTCTTCATAAAATTAAGTAACATCCAAGACAGGATATCAGGAGAAGGCACGCAAAAGAGCCGGAAGCTTTTTTCCTGTGCACATACGGAAGGTGAACTCTGGATGTAGACTTCTGTCTGTGAGGATACGCTCCGGGGCTAGGACTGTGGTGGGTAGAATAATGTCCCCAAAGATTTCCACAGCCCAAGGGATCTGTGGATTTGCTGCTTTACAGGCAAAAAAAAAAAAAGGCCTTGCACGTGTAATTAACGATGTTGAGACGGAGAGATGATCTAGCTGGTCTCAGTGTGGTTGCAAGGGTCCTTACATAACAGGAGGTGGAGGCAGGAAGGTCAAGGGGAGAGTTATCTGAAGACGGGGTGAGGGACCACGAGTCAATACAGGGCTGGAAAAATCAGCGAGCAGATTCTCCCCTTGAGCTTCCAAAAGCAACGTAGCCCTGGTGATGCCTTTTGTCCAAATAAGAACATTTTGGACTTCTGACCTCCATAGCAGAAAGACAATAAATTTATTTTAAGCCACTAAGCTGTGGTAACTTATTGCAGCAGCTATAGATAACTAATACTGAGATTTCAGAAAAGTCACTTGCCAGTGTAGATTTTTAGTTTACCTTTTATTTTTAAAAAGTTTACTCATTTATTATTATTTCAGAGAGAGAGAGAGAGAGAGACATGCGAGCACACAAGCAAGGGAGGGGAGAGAGAGAGGGAAACACAGAATCCAAAGCAGGCTCCAGGCTCTGAGATGGCAGCACAGAGCCCAATGCGGGGCTTGAACCCCCGACCGCGAGATCATGACCTGAGCCAAAGTCGAACGGTTAACCACGTGCCCCAGGTTACCTTTAAAATGGGACCAGTACAGTCAACTCAGTATAGGGAGAGTGTAAGAAACACAAGTGCACACAGGGGCTGCTAAAATGCAACCCTATTTTCTGTACCCCCTTCCTTCCCTCTTATCCTGACAATAGGCAGGTGAAAAAAAAAAAAAAGACTTAAGGGTAGGTTAAAATAGGAACAAGCAGATATTCTATTTTAAAATATGACGAACGTCCTTAAATTAATATCAGTAACGAGTTAACAAACAAAAACACTGTCACCCTGTTAAGTAAATCCAAAAAAATCAGTTTTAATGCTATTTATACTTGGCATGGCCTTGGTGTAAATAAAATCAAAGCAAAATGCCAACACTAAGAAATGGGGAGAAGGCAGCCCTAACACTGGACCAATCGTGTAAAAGGACTCTTGTAGTTCTGGGGTTTGGCTTTACTTTGTTTTCCACAAAGTCTGGGGTCCTTGGATCCTGGGGGGATTTGGAAAAGAAGTTGCATGCATTTATTCTGCAAAGAAATGTGCCAACCACGACGAACCTGTGTACCAAGAATATTCAGATGAGCTTGGCTGGGTGCCTGGCTTCAGGGAGCTCCTGTTGGGGGCGCCAAAGAGCACCGTTTGGGGGAATTAATTTTCAAAGGACCAAACTGTGTTTGAGGCCTTGAAAAAAGCCAAGGTTACTTTTATACTTTAGGAATAATAATTAAAAAAAAATGACCTTGGAAATTGTGAGAATATTAACTGGACTTGACACTGTTGGCTAGCTGTCAACTACGCATTCCTCTCTCCTAAAAGGTTCCTGGTTTGATTCTAGCGTCTCTGCTTCCCCCACGGAGTCCTGTGACTTGGGGAAGTTGACATTGCTCTCAGCTCCAGTCATGGGAAGTTCAAGGATTCAGCCTCAAGCCATGAAGTACCTGCCAGGGCCCTGGAGAAAGTCACCCGTCAGAGGCAAGCACATGCTGTAAGCTCCAAATTCATCTCTCTTGACGGACAGGCTTTACTTCTAATTTTTTTTTTTAACCATTTGTTCATTTTTGAGAGTGAGAGAGAGGAGCAGAGAGAGTGGGAGACACAGAATCAGAAGCAGGCTCCAGGCTCCGAGCTGCCAGCACAGAGCCCCCCATGCAGCGCTTGAACTCACAGACCACAAGATCATAACCTGAACTGAAATTGGACGCTCAGCTGACTGAGCTACCCAGGTGCTTCCAGGCTTTACTTCTAAATGTAAATTCAAGTCAGAATGGAAATAGAGCCATCCTAAATGGGAAAGACAATAATGCTGGAAATGAATTAAATAAGAAATTGAATAGTTGCACCTCTGGGCCAAGATACTACGGCTGAATCTGCAAAAGGACGAATAAAGTAGTGACAAGTGATGAATTTCTCTGTCTCTGATCTGAGGATTAATCTCTGCAGCTTCTGTTTTATAAACATACATCCTGCAGCCCCGCCCTTGAGGCAAAGCCTGTGAAAAACCCCTTTGTACAGAAAGATTAGTTATTTTAACCCACCAGCTACCAGTACACCAGGTAATGAGTCCTGCCTTTACGGAGAGAAATGCCCGAACTCTGAAAAGGGTCAAACGCCTCCCTCGTGTCCCTTCACAGTACCCAAATTTTATAGGACATTATAAACACTCGGCAACAACCATTTCCCCGCCCTAGAGATTTACCTGAACCAAGTTCAAGATCTTAATCCTAGTAAATAATTGAATGACTGTCAGGGAGGGCAGAAAACTGCTTTTTAGTGGTACACATTACTAATTAATATCTTCAGCCTTTGCTTTTTACAAGCTCTTGGGAACTTTTTTTTTTTTTTTTTTGAGGAGAGCTAGATATTCTCTAACTCTTCTCAGGAACAGAAGAAGCAAAAGTGAAACTAAAAATATCAGCATATATATAGGATTTTATGTTCCCAGAGGATTTTTTTAGATAACGTTTCTGAATATGTAATTAAGTAGCATGAGAGCCAATATCTGTGTCCAAATTCTCGGGAATTAAATGTACCTAAACAAAACAGTCGGGGGCTTGTCTTTTCAGAACAAGAATCTACATTTTCCTTGCAGGAGATCTCAGAGAGGATGACTTCAAGATCTCTTTGGAAATAACAAGAATCCCAGTGCTGGTCCCATTGGGAACAATTCGAGGGAGAAGAAAGAGGGGTTAGAAATAGAAATGGTAGGTAGAGCCAGTGGCAGAGAGAAGCATAAAAGCTGGTCCCAGAACTCGGCTTCTCTATTTCTGTAGAACCAGCCACACACCGGCACCGACGGGCCAGGCTGTGGACAGTGTCTTTGGGGCATGAACCCAGGGAGCAGGGATCAGCAGCTAACTTTTTTAGGCAAAGGATCCTAAAGGCATTGAATATTTAGGTGGGTGGCGAACTACTTGTAGAAATAAAGTACTTCTCAGGGTGCCGATCATCTGTCGCAAAGCCAAATGAAGAAGTTTCTAGTAAACAGGAGTGAGAAGATGGAAATGCCCACAGATCCATTATTACTAACTGCAAAATGTCATGGAGAGTCTCCTCTGTGTGTTTTATCTGCTGCCTTATTCTCTTGAAAGTTAAAACAAACTTTTTGGGACCACCCGGGTGGCTCAGTCGGTTAAGCGTCTGACTTCAGCTCAGGTCATGATCTCACGAGCCCCAAGTCAGGCTCTGTGCTGACAGCTCAGAGCCTGGAGCCTGCTTCGGATTCTGCGTCTCCCTCTTGCTCTCCCCCTCCTCTGTTCATGCTCAGTCTCTCTCTCTCTCTCTCTCTCTCTCTCTCTCTCTCTCTCTCTCAAAAATAAAGGAACATTAAAAAAAAAAAGAAGTGTTCTCATGGGTGAAAAAAATATTTCCATTTAGGTCAGTGATTTCCTCTACAGCCTAGTCTCAGAAGATGGTGCTTTTGGTAATGACCTTTGGGTGGGAGAAGAGCTGCTCTGCTTTGCCGACAGCAGAGAAGGCCATGTTCTCTGCAAGGCTGCCTTGGGTGCATAAATAAATCAGGAAGGAGGGGGAAGCTTGAGGGCTGACTGCCCGATGGAAGAGAAAGAGCATGCAGATACATGGCTTCTTGACTCCGCTCTGCCCCCGGCACCTGAACGGTGTTTTGTTTTCCACACACACACACCAAGGAGTCCTAAACGCGAAGGAAATTTGGCCAGGTCAGCACCGCTGGACAGAATCAGGGCTGACCCAGACAGCCGAGGAGCGAGCGCTGCGCAGACCTGGCAGCACGCCCAGCTTTTGAGCTTTCAGAGGAGGAAGGATACAAGGAATAGCTTTTAGCCAAACAATATGTGACCTTGGGGAAGTCAATGCACCTTTCTGCACCTCAGTGGGCTCAGCTGCAAAGGATGGAGTCTGCTTATTTCAGCTGCTTTTTAATATACACACACACAAAATTATAGGTGAGGAAAGGCCCCTTAAATAAAACGTTATCCCAGCGCCTATTATATAAAATAAGACTGAAAGTCTGTATTAACTGATTAAAAGTGAGAGGAGGCCTTGGGAACCCCTGTTTCAGGCCAGGACCACCCTGAACCCCCAAGTCTTTTTCTGGAATGCCTCCTTGAAATGGGTCAGGAATCAATTTGAAAACCACAGACCTTTTTTTTTTTTTAATTTTTTAAATGTTTTATTTCTAGGAGAGAGAGAGAGAGAGACAGCGTGAGCAGGGGACGGTCAGAGAGAGAGGGAGTCACAGACTGAAACAGGCTCCG